GCCACTTTTCAAGAACGATTCTGGCCAAATACTAAGTTCTCAAGAGCATGCACTTTATGATACTGGTCACAAAAACGCCACAAGCTATCAGAGGCCAGGAATATTAGTGGACGTCGACAATAAAGGAGGACCCATGAAAGGAGAAAAACCAACAAATAATGTGGTTGATGGTAAGGATCTAACAAGTGCTCAGAGTGTCAATAATGATGCACAAGAAGGAGAAATTGTCGTTCCCAATGGGCCTTATTTGACAACTGGTGATTCCTCACCTCTCGGTAGTAGCGCCCGTATATTGAAAATTCCAAACCAGGTTAGACCTAGTGAAGTTAAAATAGTATATAACAGGCCAATGAACCAAGAAAATCCCAGAAAAATCTGGCAAGAGAACGACAAAATGGATTCATTCCAGAATAATGGTGTCATGGAGAAGCCAGATAACTCTAATACTTTTCGAAATCAGGGATACAATTTCAGCACAACCAATGGCCTTCAGACGCAAAAGAACCGAGAGACGGACGTCGGCGTGCCTCTGAATCAGGAACAAGGCGCTTTGGCAGGAGGGTCGAATGCAAGCGCTCAGATGATGTATGACAACAGGAGACCTGGCCAGGAAAAGACTATAGGCATTGATAGTAAGTCAAATGGGAAGGTTTTCATTGCATCAAACCGAAATTCACAAAATCGTCAAGGGAGAATTGGTTTCCAGCCCCAGGAAAATAAGCTTGTGGATACCAGTTATCCGAGTTTTCAAAGCTGGTCCGAAGAGTATCATAAACTGGTTGAAAAACTCAAAGTATTATACAGAAAGACTCACGGGAGCCCCTTGCAAGCCACTGAAGCCAAGAGCCAAGACAGTAACCATGAAACAACCGATGTTGAACAAATGATGAGAGAAGTTTCCAGATTTCACAGTTTATATGTTGGGCAAAACAACAAGCAAAAGGTAAACACAAATTTAGGTGAAGCCAAAGGGCCGTTTTTTAGCGGAATCAAGGGTGACCAGGGTGGAATTATCAGAAACACAGAAATGGTGAATCCTTTAGAATACTCCCCTTTTATGTCCAACAGGAACTATGAAAATAGAAGGGATGCTTCCACTCCTGAAAGAGTTGGCGCAAATTTCTTTCATTTGACGAAAGACGTTACAGGTCAAGTCAGGAGTATCGAAGAGCCAATTAACCCTTTAGTCAGTGAAACAAATGGCAGCGATTCGTCTCAAAGGGGCAGTTTCTTGAATGACACTATAAGTGCGAATAACAGTAGACAACCGAATGGGGCATCAAACCTGACGTCGGTTAACCAACGATTAGCTTCAAGTGGACAAAATGTAAATGGTACTAAACTTGGTGACACTTCAGATAGAGCAGCGTCTGCAGATAATGGCCAGTCGTCCCATCAAGTGTTAATGACTTACTTTGGGAACGAAACTGTTCTTCGCAAGCAGCTCCATAACATTACTGATATTCTTGGAATGAATGGATTTACAGTGGGTCAAGCGACAGAGCGCAACGCATCAAAAGAAGTGACAATTGATAACGGTACAAGTACTCCAGAGTCCAAAGGAAGCCAAGAGTTCAAGGTAGTCAGTAATGGAAGAAATGATACTGGGAATCTCACAAATGATTTGACCCTACCATGGCCATCACAAGTAAAAAATGTTTCCAAAGAAGAGGAAGAAGGTTCCTTGGCTAAATATATAGAGGATTTTATTTCCATGCTCAGTCCTAATAACGGAACCACCACTTGGAATTCTAATGGAACCAGAGAAGGTTCATCCAACACAACTCAAACAGACCCTGACACTTCTTCAGACACCTTAAAGAAAGAGAATGTGACGGATTTTAATAACCGAGTTATCATAGTGGTATCCCCTAAGTCCTTGAAAGACCTGATGAGAAATCGCAGCCACAGCTCTTCAATGCTAGTTGTCAACAAAATACTTCAACACAACCCTGGTGAGGTAGAAAATTCTACAGCGAACGTTGAAGCAAAAGGAATGAATACAGCGATGGACGCTCAAGAACACCCTAAAAGTTTACACAACAATCAAAGTTACGACCAAAGCACCAAACTTGATGACGGCAAGGGTACCTCTGGAGAAGAAAAGGTCCAATCAGAAGGTAAAGAAGCCGATTTGAAGCTGTTTTATTTGGAAGAGCTTAAATCCCTGGAGGTATCATTCTCTCAAGACTTTATGAGTAACTGGATTTACAATCAAAGATCGTTGGACGAAATGGGAATTTCTCCCAGCATGCTGCGATCAGGAATAGCTAATCTTGGTTCGCCCAAAAGGCTTAAGAGAGTCTTTAAAAGGGCCCTGGCTGGCGATGATATTCATGTACTTGTGGTAGGTGGGTCTATATCGGCCGGCGGTGGTATTGAAAAGGACCACGGGAATGTGGAAGGTGTCTATCACAAAGCCTTAACTGACTGGTGGAATAACACCGTGACATCCATTACGGCATCCAAGCTGAAGATTGACGCTATCGCTATCGGAGGAACAGATTCTGAATACTTCTCTTATTGCGTTAAGAACTACATGAGAACCCTGCCAGATATTGTAATCTGGGAGCTTGCAGCTAATGACTACCAACGCTACAAGGGAAGGAGTTTTGCACCAGCAAAACCACTGGAGCAGTTGACCAGGATTATATTAAACCTACCATCCCATCCGGCTCTGATTCTTGCCAACTTTTTTCGAGGTAACTACTATAGGACAGCTGTGGGTCAAGACTGTCCTGATTCAGAAGATGAGGGGGGTATAACAATAGCGCAATACTACAAACTCACATCGCTGAGTTGGAGAAATGTCATATGTTCGTCGATAGCTGACCAGGAAATGGACCTTAAAAAGCTCTTTAGTTCGGACGGGTATCACCCAAGTCTCCTTGGGCACGCACAAATGTCTACGCTCTTGATCTCATATTTGAAAGGAGTCTTTGAACAAACTATCTCACAGGAGGTGATACTTTCAAGAAATCACACCCTACAAAGTCACCAAAAGGATGAAGAACAAACTACTCTGCCCAAACCAATATTTGATGATCCTGAAATTCCCAAACCTTTTTGCTGGACGCTTCTTACACCAGACTACAACAAAAAGCTACGAAATACCCTCCCCGATCTGGAGTTTACTGAAGCAACGGGATTTCAATTTGCGAATGTTAGTCATTGGCCTATCCGTCGGGATCGTCTGAGATGCTTAAAAGCCATGCAGGCTGGAGCAATGTTGAAAATGAAGTTCGTTGTTCCATTGCACAATGAACTGGACGACTCAGAGGTTAGCTCGGAGAGGGAATTGGCAATTACAACGCATAACTCTTTTGGTGGGATGGGAGCAATTTGGGTAGACGGAAACCGCCAGTCAGCCAAAGTGATAAAGGAGGAAGGTGGACAAAGAAGGACCCAGGTTGATGTTCTGACGAGAACCCTAGCTCCGGGTGCCCACACGGTGACAGTATCTGCATTAGAGCCAGGATTCTGCCTCTCTGCTGTTGCCGTGTTGTAAATATGGACAAGAGAACGATATGTAAATATGTAAATGCCTTTACTCCGTTATTGTGATTAATTTAGGCCTAAAGCGTTTTTTAAAATCTTTTTTGCACTAGAGTTTTTTTCTCAAGTTTATGACAACAGCGGGGAGACGTTGTGCCTTATAGTCTGTTATGAATAATTATTAGGATTTTTAAACAACTAAATCAAGGTTACAAAGATAGTTATTTACTCAGTTATTTTCCGTTAACCTAGTTCACATTGAATAAAGCGTTGTCACATGAAGTCTCGGTGGCCATATTGGTGTCCCAAAACAAAGAAACTGCGACTGTTGGTGTTCCAATCCAATCCTGTGTGAGTTGAACTCTTTTGTAATATAAAGTAAAAGCTTTCTTTCGTTCCAAGAAATTTGCATAGATGCCGGCCCCGTGACTGAAAACACAATTGTGTAAATTCCGTTCGTCCAATCATTTGGGTAGATAACTCGAAATAGCATCCCTGAGGTTAATTAAGGTGTTCCATCTTCACTCCCATTCGCCAGTTCAGAAAAGAAGTCAGGGAAAAGTTTCAATTCTTAAAAAGGTAACACGGACCGTTTTAGAATAGGTTCTGACCAGGCGACGGTTTTATTTAACCTGCACAGCAGGCGCCAGTGTTATTAGGGCGAAGGAAGAAATCTCAGGACGCGCGAGGGGAGAAAAGAAGAGGAGCCTCCTCTTCCCCCTCGCGCGACAATTCGCGCGACCTGTAATCAACCTAGTTCCTTGGGTTCTCTCCTACCCCTGGGAACGAGGTTGACCTGTAATAAGATAGTTACCGGCGCAGGCTAGTTTTTTGTTGGGTTAAGCATGAATGTTTTTTTAAACTGTCTTCGGAAGATTCCTTTTGTCAAATTTTTTAATTACCATTTATTTGCAAATTAGGAGGACCGTTTTATATAAAATTTCATGTCTATTAGTATTCTTTATATAAAATGTTTATCCTAATCAGCATTCCATTGTTTCAATCATTCAACACCGTATTTCCCTTGAGGCTGAGTTTTAACGTGTATAAAGGTCCTTACAAGTGATTTCATCCGTGAAGTCAATTGGACAATATGCCTAATTAATAATTGTGAGTTTTTGAAGGTGAAATAAAGAACAGAAAAAGGTTGGACTCAAACTTCACATTAATGCCACTCAGCGCACTTGTCATTTGTCAGAACTGGCAGGTCACACCAGTCCGGTCTCAAAGAGGATTCCTAGCTTTAACTAGCTAAAATTTTTTTATTCTCGATATTTTTGTCCAACTAGTAGGATTTTACTAAAACAATTATTCCCCTCGCCCTCATGGCCTCTGAGTCAATAGCCCATTTGGCCTTCGGCCTCATGGGCTATTGACCTGGAGCCCATTCGGGCATGGGGGTTAATTGGGCTGAGATTGGGACATTTTCACAACTCACCCCCTCCCTCCAATCTCTGTGCCCTCAAAATATAGCATGACAGTACTGACATGACTAATTTGATCTAGTCGGAAATTCCAAAAATTATTGCCGCTCTGCGCTTACTTGAAAATGTGAGAGGGTCAATTTTGATGTTTTAAATACTGTTATATAACAGTGATTTTTCTTTTTCTTAAAACTCGCAAAGCAACTTAAGTTCAGTTTTATTTCTGTCAGATATTGCATTTAAAGCCCAGCTGCTAACTATGCGAGTAAATATGTTTCAATAAGACAAGGAGATCTACGAATAGCATATTCCTTTCTTGAACGAAAAGACTTTTAATTTCTTCACACGCAGGGAGAGAATTGCAACAAATTAAAGCTTTTTACGTGGGGACCGTTGGAGGACATTGTGTTCTCAGCTCCCACACAGACTAACAACATCATCGACTACTGTATTTAGACAATCATTCAGCGTAAATATGGGGCTAAAAAGTCCACGCAATAATTTTGTGTTCGCTCCAAATCGACTTCCAAATCTGTTCGCCAGACGACTTAAAAAGACCCGGCCCCTCCCGGCAAAAATCGGCTTCACTGAAGGGAGACAAGCAAAGCCTTCTGAGAATTCCGTCCGCCATTTTGTCTTTTTTTGACTAGGCGTTGCCCTCACGGGCAGCCCTATAATTACCGTCCAGCCGGCCAGTTCTGACTTTTGGTAAAGCGCCCCAGCTCTGTTTAATGGAAACGTTTCAAATTCGCGTTCATTGCATGAGGTGTTTAAAATATTCCTACAGTGGGGTAAAAGGCAGGGAAATATTGGCAGGAAACTTGAGCACCGCATTGCACCAGAGTGAAAAACCATCACTCGCGTTCTGATTGAACGAACGACGTCTTCATACGTGAACATCCTTCGCGCCTGTGGTTGGTCAGAACTCGTTTCCGTACGTACAAAATTTACGAAACGGCTTTTCACTAAGTGTATGTAAGTTTTACAATAACTGAGCGATTTCTAATGCACTGATTGGTCTAGAGCTTGATTAATAAGAGTATATACCGCGGAAATAACGTAATAAAGCGCAACTTGTTTTTCTTTGTCTCTCCTCTAGCAATTTCTCAGGAAACTTCACCGAAAACTGATTGTGAAAATAGACAAATACACAAAAATCCTTAAAACTTAGCAGTGAAACCACTCGCCTGCGGCTCGTCGTTCTCCTTGACATTTAATGTGTACATATATAATAAACGCTCAAAAAAATGAGTGCTTTGCATGGTCAAAAGCGCAATATCAAGTGTTCATCTGTTTCTGCAACATGATAATCGTGAACTTTTCCCGCACATAAAGTAAATTCCATAAAGCAAGTGTTTTTCGTCTGAGAAATTATTTTAAAAAGTTAGCATATTATAGAAATATATAATCGTTCACCGCTGGTTTTCGGAATATGATAAATCTTGTTTCAAGAACTCTTTTCGAACAAAAGTCATGGTGTAAGATATTTATTTATATAATGTAGAAATTATTATAATGGTAGGAAGTCTATCAAAAGATATATAGCAATCATGCGATTAAAATGAAGTTTAAATTTTTGCTTGAAAGATTTATGAGATATTTTTGTCATCCATGTTTTCCGGCTGTTAATATGAAGGAACTTTCCATCAAATAAATAAAATTAAAAAAAACCACTAGGTATATGGCCCAAACTGGCAACAGATGATTAATGTAAAGCGGTTTGCCAAAATTAGTGCTCGGTAGCTTACTAATGGAAAGCCAATTTAGTTGCAGAATAAATGTTCCTGCTGGGTGTAAGTCGCCGGTTGTCTGAATAAAATATTCGTCCCTGGCGTAAGTTTTTTTCTTTATTCGTCAGTTTAGCACATGGAAACTTTACATATTTCGATCGTTTTTTTTAATACCAATAGCTTCACCGTAACGCTAAAAGAAGTGTTAAATGAAAGTCTAATTCGGGCAGGTGTATTTAAGATATTAGTACGCCGCATTTAATAGAGGACATTTGAGAAAAACAGAACTTAGAGGATAATGTCCGGATACCAGTAATTGAAACTTTAAAACACGTTAACCAATCAAAGAGCAAAATTTCTTAAATTAGCCTCCAGAGTGATCATGAGAAGATTTTCCAGAATTATACAACCTTGAGTCTGTCTGGCGATGAAAGCCACTTCGCAACAACTGGAATATTTTATGAGACTTTGTTCGCGTACGGAAAATAAAAAAGAGTTTTTGCCGACCAGTAAAAAACTCTCCATTTCCATATCGAGGCGGCAAACATAGTACCCTGCGAAGTTTAAAATTCCGGAGGTCCTCTCCTCGCAGGATCGTTCCAGGATAGCTCTGTAAAACTCATAACATTGCAAACACGCAGTTTCTACCTACAAACAACATCCCCTAATTTCAGCTGCGCGTATGCCATCGAACCAGGTGATCATTCGCAGTGATACGTGCTTTGTGATTCAAATTGGGTCAGTCGCGTACGTAAGCCGCTACAAAAACTGTTTAATAAATACACAGCAATTGAGAAAACAGCTATTTAAGTGGAGGTAAATTAAAATTTTGAACAATGAATCTAACTATCCCCTCCGATGGCCATCTTTAATTTGAGAAGAAGTAAACGTTAGCAGTCGCGTCCTTTTAACTCGAAGTGCTGTGTGAAGTCCTAGTCAAAACGTGAATAAACAAGAATCGAAGAACATATGCTATAAGGTATGTGATCGCATTTCAGTATTATAGTCAGTTGCATATCGAACTTCGGTGACAAGAGAAAGAGATGTCAGAAGAGAAACGGAAATTTAAACTTTTTCAACATCAAATGTAGCTGCCTATAGCCGCACCTGTTTTAAGACTCAGGCGATAAAAATGTGAATTTTCACGGCTTTTTCGTTCCCATGCTTACCTAAAAAGATTTGGCCATTAAAAATAAGGATTAGGAGCGAAAAAATATGAAAGATAGGAAAAGAATATTATGAGCGATTAACGTTTGGGCTCGTACTTAGGCAAGCGCAATCTAGAACATCATCTAGCCAGTAACGGTAAAAGTTTGGAACGAGGAAGGGACCTCTAGGAATTCGAAATAAGGAAACTGAAACATTCGAGGCCCAAGTTTAGGCGGTCGAATAAAAACTGCTGCCTGAAATTTGCCTTTATTTTTGTTGGGTAGCACTGGTGATCCGAAACTCTTAGCAGAATTACCTGCATGAGACATTTTCAAAAGAACTTTTATCGTGAACATTGCACTCACTAAATGTGTTATAATTATACTTTTGGAAGCTAATATGCAGGAACACAAGATAACGTCACGCGCATGTCAATGCCCAAGTATCTTTACAATAAATTTAAAATATTCACAGACAGCTAAGAGGAATAATGCGCTTGCCACTTAATGTAGCAATGAGGACTTTCTTTGTAAAATTTTCAGCGCGCTCCGGATTGAATCCATGGATAACTGCCAGCTATACTGAACTGGTCGTAACACTTTAAAACCTTGTTAATGCTGCGATAACTGTCGCCATTTATGCAACCTAAACTAACGTGACAAACCCGATGAAGAACTTATTAATAACGCTTTAAATAAAGTCGTCAACTCCGCTAGAAGGAGAGTCTTTAAATAAGTAAAATTGCCAAGTTTGATGGTAATTTGTTGAAAACTAACGAAGATCTAGTTCCTCAAAGTCCTCGCGAAATTTTACACACGTTTGTATGGTGTTGGCGGGGGGGGGGACGTCTGTAGATTTCGCACCTTTGCGGAAATATACCATCGCTCGCTTAAGACGAATCACTTTCAAATTTGACATTTTTACAAATTTAAAGGTACTTTTTCCAGTGTTGCTAACGGATTTTTCCTAACTGGTCCACGTCAAAAGTTAAAGGGTCTATTGCCGAATTGCACTGAAATGGCGTACTTTGTATTCAAGACCTTGATATTTGTGAAACCCTTTTGACTCCGAATTGTAGTGCTTACCAGGGAAACAGAATTGACCGGCCAGACCAGCCCATTCGTAAATGGAAGTTCACTATTAATCGGGACTATCTAGCCAAATAAATCTATACCTTCAAAGCTCGAATTAGCGCCCCTTTCAGGCAAAAAATATATTTTTTTGAAAAACCTTCGAATAAGCGCCACATCCTCATATTACATAGTTCATGGTGATTTTGAAGACCCATACGCTTCCCCCTCCACCCCGTGATACAAGTGGTTGCAACCTCACTCGAGATTCTGCTCTCAGAGTTTAAGATTTAATTTAAGATTTAAATTTTGTTGTTTTTAGGTTTTCGAAGCGGGTGATCGTCAGAATTTTCTCCATGATCTCTAAAGTGCAGGTTGTAAAAAGTTCATTCGATAACCATCCAACGGTTCGCTATTTGCAAAGAAAACTTAACATGGAGAGCTTCAGATACAACAAGCTTTCTGAGTGCGACGACGAATGGGATGAACACAGAGAAAGCCAGCCTCAACAGGAGAGGGGATTTCGTGCCAAAAACTTTACATTCACTGGGACACGTTTTAGCTACAACAACATCCCTCAGTGTGATGAAATTTCCAAACCTAATGCAGCGACCACAACGCCCGTTCAAACTACAACAAAACCGGATCAACAACCAGCGTCAGCTACGAAACAAGCCCAACAAGATAAAAAACGCAAAGGGGCAACCGTTCAAAGCAGTGGATCTTTTCAGAACTGCGGTAAACTCTCTTTCGATGAAAATTCAAATAGCTCTGTTCTTACAGTAACGGGAAAAAAACGAGATCAACAAAATGCCTTGGAAATCGCTCATCGTCCGCTTTGTCAGATGCCAAGCTGGAACGATAACCGGGAAGCGAAAGAAAAGCTTGGGGTACGCCGCAGTGCTGTTTGCGACAACATTGAAAGACAGTTGCTAAACAATAAAGGCATTAGCTTGCGGAAACTGCGGAAATTTTTGGTCGTGGATAACATTTTGCACGAGGTGAACTTACTGTAATCGACACGCGTGGCTAGGACCACCAAGAGCAAGGCACATTCACACGTACTAGTTCTGGACTTGTTGGATTTTATACCTTCATTGGAGAAAAAAGAGAAACACCAACAACAGAGCTGAACTGAAAATCGCCAGTGCATGGCATTTTCATGCAGAGAATTCAGTTCACTAACAAATCCAACGATCAGCAAATTTCAAAACTTCTTTTAGATATTTCTTTTGATTTTTCTGGCCTGTTTCAATGAATATCTTTTTCATCTAAGAGATTTTGTGCTCTTCTTAATCCATTACCTGCAAATTCAATAGGCATATAAGAGAATAAAAAACAGTTGAGTCTTCATTAGATGAACTCTTAGGGAACCAAAAATTGAATTTTTGCGCCTCAATCTTTTGCAGTCCAGCAAGTATTTACCATACAAATCCATAGACAGACACTCCAACCCCAGTAGCCAGGATAGCGAGTGATAGTTATGTTACTATTAACCAGCCATAATACTAAACAAAAGGAAAACACTCGAAGTAAGACTCAGGCAGGGTATCAGCTACTAGAGTTAGTTCACCAATGGATGGGTAATTCTTTGCAATAAAAATGATCTCTATACTACAAACCATTTTTCGACCTTGCATTCTATAAAATAAATTTTTTTAAGAAATCGAGGTGTGTCCTTACAAGTATACGTAGAAAGAATTTTTCTACCTTTCATTATTTTGTTGTCTAAACTTCAACTTTTTAGAGCTGAAGAAAAAAATGAGAATAGGTACCAGATTAGAGACTTTATATGTTTATGCCCTCTGTAAAAAAAAAAAAAAAATGAAAACAACAAAAATGAGAGAAAGACATTGCTCACGGCTGCAATAACTAATAGACTCTCCACTGTCGTAAAAAAAGGTGAAAAAAGAACTTGACTGATAGAATTGTGAAGAAACCATTAGATGAGTATTTGATTTTCTCTTTTGTTTGAAAATTCAAACAAGACACTCCGAATCTAAAAAATGTCTTACATGAGTGCATGCCCTGTGACACTTGTTAAACTCGTATTCGTTAATAAAATTAGAAGAATTTCAAATTTGGAGACCGTTAGATTCTACGACGACAAGGAAGACTTCGAAGTGTGAGGGCGTGAACCAGGGTTATTTTAGCGCGGAACGTGATAGCTGTGGTCGTTCTACTTCGGGTTCTTGCGAAAATGCCGTTGTATCGGAAACAAGTGATCAAATGGAGAGGGCTCAACCTTCTTCAATAAAAATAACTATGCCATGCTAACTGTTCTGGTGAAAAAAAGTACAATGGAACTTTTTTGGGGGTGTCTACTTGTTGCAAAAACACGAAAAAATAAACTATAAAGTGTATACGACATGAAATTTGTTTTGACGTATTTTGGTCCTTAGATAAGTTTAATTTACACTTGTGAACTTCAAAATTTGACTCGCAAAACTTTGGCCGTTCTGCTTTTCCCAGAGACTGGAAAAAAGTAAAAAATGAATGAAGCTTTATTTAATCTCGGGTTTGATGGGTTGGTTAGACCTCTAGCAAAAATATGCTAATAAGCCAAAACGAATAAACAAAATAATAGAGAAAGAAAGGGAAATCCAAAAACTTATTTACAGTATAAAGTCTAAAATTACGTGAGATAGCTATTTACAATAAAAAGCCCAATTACTTAATAGCACATAGATATTATTTAACAATTATTCCACGAGTACGTGTTGGATATGAGATGGTAGTTAGCCAACGGGGCTATAATCATCTCAATTGTTTTATTAAAAACGCCCACAAAATATCCAGAATTTTTCCCAACTTCATTTGTGAAAACAACCGATTTTCAGCTTGTTTTTAATTTTGAGCAGACGCGTACAGTTACCATATTTGGAGAGCATGGTATAATGGCTCATATACCATGATGGCTAAGCCAATCAGAGCCCTAGAATTGCATTATCCAATGATTTAGTTTTAATAAATAGAATTAGCTAGAACCTTAGCTGTCGGACTGCTTTTTTAAAAGCTGACAATGTACTTAGGGATCTTAAGGTATCAGAAATCTTGTTCTAAGTAAAAGCCACTAAGTACTTTACTGAGTTCTTGCCATAACGAGTCATATTAGGTTTCAGCACTTGCAGCTTGTTAACCCATCTCAGGTTTTTGATGCTGTCTCTTAACCTAAGTAGGTCTCTCAGATATTCAGGTGGATAATTGTTTATTGTCTTAAATACAATAACTAACAAGTTCGATACGTCGATCCACAAGGCTGTAACCAATACGGTCAAAAAGAGTGCTAGTTTGTGAAGACTCGTCACTGTAATCCAGGTTTTTACGATCAGACTTTAAACAGTGATGCCATATGGAGGAAGAGTAATGAAAATGAGACATTATGAACGAATTATAAAGGCAGACTTTGGTCCGAAAAGGTAATATATTCTTTAGTGTCATTAGTAAACCTATGCCGAATTAGTATGCTACAAAGAAGATCTAGTTGCTTTCCAACTTCCTTGTGTTGTAAAGGATCAAAGAAAGGCTGATGACGTCATGTGACGTCAGTAGATTTGCTCGGCCTTCCCTTCCGATTCTGATTTGTGTTTTATGTATTTAAAAGAAAGGTATAGCGAAGCAAATGAAGATTCTAAAGATGATTGGGGTGTTGTCGACAACGACAATCCTTCGTAATGGCCGCCATCTTGTTAATTGCTAAACCTTCTTGCAAATCATTCTACGTCATACTTATCCATTAATTAGCGCGATAAGGCAGACATTTTTGGAGGGTAATTTGCGCGTTTTGAAGACAAAGGAAAAAGGTTTTGCAAGATACATAATATGTTATTATTAATGATCAGGCTAAATGAAAGGCGTGGATAATAAAGAAAAACCGCGGTATAAAGTAAAAAAGGAGGTGAGAAGTGGACGGAAGCTCCGCCTCTGTGTTACAGCTTTTAAAAAAATTTCAATTTACGTTCATGATGCCCGCGATCTCCCTAAATGATCATATTGATACGATGGCGGTGATGAAGCCAATGACGTCATTCCAAATGATAGCAAAGATGGCCACCATCTTGGAACTTACTACACATTCAAAGAATAATTCATTCACACTGTAATTGTGTTGCTTCAATCATCCACTTAAGGATTTCGAGTTAGGAGAGTTAGCAAAATCAACTAAAGAAGATTCAGACTTCGAAACTAAATAACGCTCTTTTAGAACTGAAGAAACGCTTTTTGGATTTTTAGCTCTTTGCAGGAGAAACCTTTTGGACAAGCAATTCTTTAACTGCATATTCTTGTTATCTATTTTTCTTAACTTTGCTAATAACACTTATACTGACAAATGTATAGAGAAAAGTGTCCGGGGAAAACAGAATCGCAGAGTCTTGGCCATATATTAGATTGCCACACTAGAAACTAAAACCAGAATTGTGCCAAATGAACTTCAAACGTGCCTTGTAACACGAAATTTTTTGAACGGAACTTCGATCTACTGTTACCAAATAAACAGGAAATTCCCCGTATAGATAACCATTCCACGTGCGATTTGGAATAAATGGGCAAGAGTATGGTCTTTTAAGAGAATATCACAACTTGTGTTCTGTTCATTCTAAATTGCTCGAAAAAATCGTGCGAGAAAAAACGATGTTAGGCATAAAAAGAATTAAAATGCAAATAAGATTATATTTAGGCTGCTGTCTGTTTTTCGATTTTTTGGGGTTTTGTTTTCTGCAATCTACCTTTTTAAGCACTGTTTTAACTAAAATTGTAAATCTGGAAAATAAGAATCGAGACCTCGGCATAATTTTCCGGAATATAATCGATACGAAAAAAACCTTTTTTTTCTTCCTCTTCTTCAGTGCAAACGCTGAAATTATATTCACTGCGGAAGCAAACGTTGCATCCGACAAGAAACACTTCCTTTTGAAACATTAAATATTCATTTCTTTTAAACAGAGTTTCTCCAGCAATGCGGGGTATAAGCTGAAAAAAAAAAACAACAAAAATTGCACAACTCAACCGAAAAATTATAGCCGCTTCTACATATACTATTTATTCAGTTTCGCTTGGTCCCACCGGTGGAAAAATATTTTTCAAAAAATAATTGATATCGTCGGAAGCCATTGATCGAAATTAAAAGGGAAAATTACTCGGAGATCGTTTCTGAAATTTAAACCTTACCCAGTACGTATGGAAGCGGCTTAAAAGCATCGGTACTATCTGACAGCCAAGAGGCGCTAGTCGAAATTGTTTTGAATTCGAAAATGGCTTAGTGGAGACGCGAAATGTAAACAAAACGATGTGTGATTTACTTATAATAAGAACCAAAAGCAAAGAATCTGCGGGCTGAAACCATATTAAAGCATTTCGAATCAAGTTAATTTTCTTTGTTTACAGCTTAGAACTGCTAAAGGTTTAAAGTTGGATTTGGGTAAGAAGAAAGATTCTATATAGTTTCAATTATATTTGTTCTCAGAGAAACCCAACTTGCAGGTGCTTGCATTGTTTTAGCGTTATGTTTAATAATTATTCAAACCTGTCAAGTTTATGCTTGCTTTCCAATAGGAAGCCATAGACCACAATTCTATTGACGGCGATTTTACATATTTAATGACGCTTATGTTTCTTTGTAAGTCTTCAGAGCTGAACGACTTCCTGGTTCCATTAAGATACGAGGGAAAAACAGACTGAGGTTTTTTTTGACGCTCGATTCTTGCCTTTCGTGAAAGTGACGATGAAAACGAAAGACACGAAAGCTATTGGTTACGTTTCTAGGCGATTCAGTAAGCGATCTCGAAGATACAAAAAACTTGCAGGCCATGTAGATGACGTGGAGAAACCTGGTTCACTCTCCTCGAAATCTCACAAAGAGAACGTGCGAGCGTCCATGGAGGATTTCGACGAGTTTGTACTGAATCGGTGTAGAGCAAAGCGAGAAGCTGCGAAGGTCAACACCGTCGCACTTGACGAGGCACACGAAACTGACAAAGAAAAGGAAACTCTCCCCGCGCGCTGCAGAAGGCCTGCTATTTGTGAAGAGATGGAGAAGCATATTCGGAACGAGGCCGGAGTAAGCCTGCGTGGATATCGCGAGATTCTAGTAACGCGTCGTCTACTTTATGAGATGCATTTGCTCTGATCGGGGAGTTGATTTGCAAGGAGGTGGTTTAAAACATTTTCCAACGATATCTGAGCTGAAAAGTCTTCTCAAAGGTATATAAACTCATCTGGGTTAACAGGTGCTTCTGAGGCGTCACAAACAAGGCCTAAATAAACAGATTACTTAAAAGCAATGCTACATGGATAAAAAGCCGAAAAATCCTTCTGGCTAGCCGCTGACCTTTATAGACCTGGTCGATACATTATATAAAGCAAAAACGAAACCCAATTTCTTGTTTGTAAAGATCGCAGGTCAAATGATTTATAGACAAGACTGAGTCAGACTGGTGCCTCAAGACTTTGCTCATCAAAGCTTTTTAACCCAAAATCTTGTAACAGAGTCCTGTTAGGCTAAAGAATCTACGAATGTTTCACAACGTTCATGCAACCGTACTAAAATAGTCAAGATTTTCGAAGATTACATTGTACTTAGTTGCGTAACAGAAAAGATACTTTCAAAACAAGTATTGTATTTGCCATTCTGATTAATTGTTATTTACGGAAATACCCTCAAACTTTTGTTATGGCATATGTGATCTGATTGTGCCAATTGCACTAACAAAAAATTAAATTTTTAAACCTTTACACATAAAATATATCAATACCCATTTAATAATATTTAAAATAAAATTGTACAACCGTCGCAAAGAAAAAAATAAATAAATGGCAGACAATAATAAGTAACGCTGCGTGGAACATGAAAGATCCTGTAATGTTTATCAAATTTTTATTCAAACGCCTTCTTTGCATATCAATTACATTACATTATGTCCCATTCATTAATTGAATAAAATCGACAGGAAACTGGCCAAGCGGGTCGCTTTCATTTCTTGAGTTCAATCTTTTCAGTCCCTTTGCTTAAGATTTAAAGTCTCCTTTTTATATGGTATTTATTTTCGTGTCCTTTACTTTACACGAGAGTGTGAGATTTGACAATTTCACTCAAGAAAACATTTGCTTGTATGCGAATAACTGCCTCGTTCCCAGACGCTCGCCATCACTCCCTGCTCGCGCTCAACGCTCGTTCCCATCATTCCTTTCTCGCTTGTCTCCCTTGTCTTGCGTGCTTGCGAGTTCCCCAATCCCCACTTAACCTTAGGAAACCCTGTGGAGGAGGCAGTGCGAACAAAACCTAGGAAATTGTCACTCCTTTAAAAGAGTTTCTGGACGCAATTCATTTAACCAGAAGTTTTTCACGGAATTTCAAAAAATTCTCTCGGTCGTCAAATGTAGTCAAATGGCTAATTCGAAGCCAGTTATGGTGGATTGAAAAACAAATTTGGAAAACAAGGCATCTTAAAAAGTGCGACCATATCTCATGACCCTTTGCGGTTAAAAAAAAAAAAAAATTCTAGTCAATACTTAAAAAACAGAATTCCACCAAATGAAACGACCACTCTGGGCACAAAGCCGAGTGAAAATGGAACTTGGTCCAACCTTGAACATTCCCTTTGAGATTTGAGATGGACTCATTATCTTATACGTTACGTTAAGCGTTGCAAAACATTGCGTCTTGTTATGCTACGATATGCCTTCCGTTACGTCACGTTAACCTAAGCGGCGTTAGTTTGCGTTACTTCGCGTGATGCTTTGTTAAGAGTTACGCCACTTTACGTTATGCCACGTTATTTCATTTCACATCTGTCACCCAAAAACATCAAATATTCCAAATAAATAGCGCAAACAACTCCACAGTTTCACTGTTTAGCGGAGAGTTTTAATAATTAAACCTCAGGGAAAGTTTAAGAAGTAAATTATTTCCATCAGGACTTTCCATACAGTTTGCATTTAATACTTCAAACAGTAAAAATGACAATTCCTATTCGAAGTATTTACGGTACGATTTTGCATGTCTTTAAATGTAGGGTTGTCGGTCAAAAGTGACAAGAAAAAAGATTCTCCAATAGCAACAAGCCCCGCTCCGGATATATAAATGTCCTTGGGAACTACGATGGAAGTTTTCCTGAAATATAAAATCCATCATACTGCTTCGGAAATTAACGAGACAAAACCGAACATGAGATTGACTAAACAGCGAATTAAATGCGAAAACCTGTAATATAAACTATTAACAACCGTCTACATAAACTGAACGTTGACTGGTGTTTTAGGGTTTGTAAGGACATGCCAGCGTTAATGAGTTTTGGAGTGGTGTTTGCAGTTCGCACGTTCAGAGGGATCACGTTTTCACTGTTTTTTTTATTATGTATATGTTGTAGTTAATTTTTTATCTCAGGTAATTTTTATTTTTCCTTTGTTTCAACTTCATTAGCACACATTACCATACCCAAAAACAAAAGAAAAATAAAAATTACCTGAGATAAAAAATTAACTACAACATATACATTGAAAAATTGCTGACACTATTTTCTTTTCATAATATTAGCCTTACACTAAGCCTCGTGGCAAATCAGTTTCGGAGTCAGTTTGTAGCCGTTTTCTACTTTGACCGCGGTCAAGCGAATGCTCTTTTTTGTTACTACAGATATTATTCAAAAAGGAAAAATTTCAAGCGAAATTCTCGGGCTAAAACTGAGGACAGCTTTCAGCGAAACAAGTAGACGTGTCTTGAAATGTAAACATTATTACACAAAGGAATTATAAACCTCTAACTCGAAAGATCACATCATAAAGGATATTTTAGCATTCGCATTTTCTGTAAGATAAGGAAAGTAGTTTTAAGAAATTCACCTGGTCATTGTTAAAAGAATGTTAGATGCCGCCAAGATTATGAATGTAACTTTTGAATCACAACACTGACAGAATTTTTTTATTTCATGTACGTCATGATTAGCCATAATAATGACCGACGTTATATTTTGTATTGCGGGCAAAGCTTGTATTATTCAATAAATTAATTGAATCTCCGACTGACAAGATCTGTACGAGTAATTTCCTTTTTACGTAAAGCTACGCAATTCTTTTTAAAATGATGGTTAAGTGAGTCCCTTTAACAAGAAAACTCTGTAAATAAAGTACAGATAGACGATAAACTGTAAGATATGATAGAATCTATTTACCTTGCATGAGTGATATCTTTCAAGATTTAACTAATAATAATAATAATAATAATAATAATAATAATTTAATAGTCAAAAAAGCATACTTTATTAAACTCTTCTCAAATTGAAAATTAAATACAAATTTAGCATAACTATAGTTAAAAAAGACTTCTTGGTGGTCTGGTGGTTTTCAACAGAGCAAATGTAAACAACTGTCTATAAACTAAAAAATGAAAATTTCTATGTACATCCCAATAATAAAGTATCTATAGCTGTTGAGTCTAGGGAAGTCCTGCTTGACCCTTCTCTATTTCTAGATCCCTATAATAATAATAATAATAATAATAATAATAATAATAATAATAATAATAATAATAATAATAATAATAATAATAATAATAATAATAATAATAATGATAACGATAAGACTAATATTAAAAAAATCAAATGAAGTAAGGAAATTCACACCTACGAAAACTGGAATCAAAAAACCTAAAACATTCACTTAAAGGGCTCATTTCTTTCAAAATAACTTCGTAAAAGAGATTAAAAAGTATTTTAAAAAAAGGTGTTTGCAACAATCTCGATGGTACAAGCAACAAGTCAAAAAGTCTCTTTAATTTTCTTTCCCGAAAAAATATAAAACTTGAAGAGATCTTTGGTCTGACAGAATCGGCTTAAAAATATAATTATTTGAAAAAAATATTTTTCCCCAATTTAAAACTTGCACAGAATTTGCGCTAAATTTATTCAGCGATTATATACGTAGGTAAACAAGAGAAATGACGCACATTTGTGTAAACACTTGAATGTTCTATTTCACGACTTAACGCCCTGACGATTTATATTGGCATGTCAACTGGGATAGTCGGTCGTTTTGATTTCAAATCGCCAGAGATACTATAACTGCAACTGATTTGCGAAAGAGAAAGTGCGCCAGCAGCAATCGATTGCCTTGATTTCCATTTCAATTATTTGAAACAGATACGCCTAGATTACTTTTAGGCGGCTTTTAAAATCACTTTGAATCGTCCGGATCTGCGTAACATTAACAATGACCTTTACGCACAAAAAGAAGGGTAATCTGGCGCGAACAAGAGACGTAGACACAGAGGGTTATTGTAAGCGCCTGTCAGGTTTGCCTTTGTAAATTCATTTGTTGAAATTTTAACCTCGAGAACTTTAAGCTGCATCAAAAACTCTAATCACCACTGAAAAGCAGCTGAAGTAAAGGGAAGAGTGGATCTTTTTGGGGCTTAACGACATGGCAAAGAGCTTTGCCCGTATAAGAGATCGGCTTATGCACAAAATACGTCGATTCAGGAACGTTCGCAAGGATAAAGATGAACTTCGAGAGCCCATTTTCAATAATAATGACGACGACAAGAATCACAGCGATCAGGAAAGGGTTTCTTGCACCGACTGGCTGAGGTCAGAGAGTCATCGTACCGTAAAAAACAGTACGGAAAATCCACATATAGAAAAAGATCTCGGTTCTACAGAAATAACTGATGTAATGAACGATCTCCAAGAAACCGAAGAAGTTGAGATCGCGGGAGAAGCGGATTGTTCGCAAGCGAAACCACCCTTCCTTGAACGGAGACGCTCATCAGCTTTTCAACGATTGAAGAATTGGGTGAAACCGGAACACAGACGAGATGCTATTTGCGAGCAAATGGAGAGAGAAATTGAAACAAGCGGGATGAGCTTGAGACAGTATAGAAAATTTCTAGCCACAACGTACATTTTATATGATTTGAAAATGCTCTGAACGATCTAGATATTGAGCGAGAAACGTTATGCACAGAAAACAACCAGATAGTGACAACTGTAAGTAAGAGCAAACCCCAAAAGGCGAAATTCGTGTTTTTACAAGGTAATCTTACCCACAGGACAGCTACAAGTCAGTCGGCCAGAGACGTATCGACTTTAAATTTCATGGAACCTCATTAGATTTCTTGGCTTTTTTTAACAAACGAAGCAGAAAAAAGTGGAATCTAAAACTAATTTTAAAAGACATTTAAAAGTACAAATTAAGTGCCAAGTTTTTCCAAATTCCACTAAAAAGAATGTAAATTAGCCATAATAAAGACAACCGTCTTCAGTTTTTGACGACTAAATTTTATGCCTTGTCAAGGTGACATGAAAAGACAAGGATTTGTGAAGATAGGCAGTAGTAAATTATGGAAAGAGGATTTATCATATCTTTTGCTCCTGTAAACGAAATATTCCGGTGCAACCATTCAAATAAAACCTCTTCGACAGTGTTTTTCAATGGCAGTATTTGTTTTTGTTTAGGTTTTCAAAATGAAAATCAAGATTTTTCTTAATTTTACCTCAAAAGGTCAGTTCAGTTAATAATAAAACGCTTGGCCAAATCATTTTCCAGAAAAGCCATTTGAGACAATAGTAAGGCCGCAGAGCTTTGATACAACTTATGAAGCGTACCAAAAAGTCACAAGCATAGAGACTCTTTTAACGAAAGCAATATGTAACAAGCAAAAACACCAAAGACGCATGGAAAAGAAATGCTAATTTGACCCCAAGAAAGCGTCGATAGGAACAGCTGAGAAAACTAAATAAAGGATAGGTTGGAGGACAGATCAAGACAATTGTGTATGGCGTCAAGACAGAACATTGGCTGCAACTGCGTTCTGACTTACGTAAACCCATTGTTCTTCTTAATAAAATGTGATTCTTAATTCACGCAACAGTAAAGTGTTGTTTACAATGAGGATTTTTTTCCACTTTCCCATTTACACCGAACTTTACTCAGTATCGCGGACATCCCACGCACAAAACAAACATTTCTCTAACGGGCTTTTTTGCGTCATGAAAAATCGAATTTTGATAGCAACAAAAACTGACAGCAAGTACTCAATTGGCCATTATACCCTTGTTGGTTTGCCTTGCTAGATTTTAGTCAATGAAACATGCTACGCCCCTATCACTTTTTTTACTGGGGATAAAAATACAGTTGAACCTCCCGTTTGTGACCACCCAAAATGCAAAAAGACTAAGTCGTCGCTTATGGGAGGTGCTTACAAGAATCGAACCACAGGGACCTCTTTCGAGAAGAGGTCTGAGCACATCTTCGATATGGAAGAAAATTTTATTGCATGCAATTTAAGCTACGCTATGTGTAGTTCCATGTTGTTATTAAAGTTCTTCGTAAACGTCGTATATTCTAAGTAGCATACTGCACACAGCGAACGTAGAAATCCGAGAATCACGTCAAGTGATCGCTTACAAGAGCTTAAAAACAATGGAAAATCATTACTGTCAGGCCCAAAAAGTCGTCGCGGTCGCTTAGAGGAGGTGGTCGTTTACTAAAGGTTCTAACTGTCATGCTTTGACTGGGAAAATTTTGCCGGTGTTTTGGATTGGCAGTCGCTTATGGGAGGTGGACGCACAGGGACTTTCGACTATATGAGGTATAATGGGCTAAAGCCTTTCATGATCAGCAATGAATACTTTTAAAGGGTACATTCTAAAAGTAGGTGTCTTAAAAGAATTTCAGTTTAAGCAATTTTCCATTTATAAGTACTTAAATCTTGCTGAAAAGGTGAAATAAGCGACCTCGCACACAAGTGATAAAAATGCCCAAGTAATGCAGTTTAATTGACGATTTCTTCGGTACAAACGAATAAACGGCAATGCANTACGCTATGTGTAGTTCCATGTTGTTATTAAAGTTCTTCGTAAACGTCGTATATTCTAAGTAGCATACTGCACACAGCGAACGTAGAAATCCGAGAATCACGTCAAGTGATCGCTTACAAGAGCTTAAAAACAATGGAAAATCATTACTGTCAGGCCCAAAAAGTCGTCGCGGTCGCTTAGAGGAGGTGGTCGTTTACTAAAGGTTCTAACTGTCATGCTTTGACTGGGAAAATTTTGCCGGTGTTTTGGATTGGCAGTCGCTTATGGGAGGTGGACGCACAGGGACTTTCGACTATATGAGGTATAATGGGCTAAAGCCTTTCATGATCAGCAATGAATACTTTTAAAGGGTACATTCTAAAAGTAGGTGTCTTAAAAGAATTTCAGTTTAAGCAATTTTCCATTTATAAGTACTTAAATCTTGCTGAAAAGGTGAAATAAGCGACCTCGCACACAAGTGATAAAAATGCCCAAGTAATGCAGTTTAATTGACGATTTCTTCGGTACAAAACAATAAACGGCAATGCAATCCATTTCATGCCTTTTATACGAGGGTTTGCATTCCACTGCTGGTTGTAAGGGGATAATATAGAGAAAACGTACCGTTTTTCCCGGTGGGATAATCCTAGAAATTCTTGGTGGGGGTGTGCCTTGCTGACCCTGTTTCAGACCAACAACTGTCATTTTCCACACCCATTTCAGCACCTGACCTCTAAATTCTACACCCGTTTAGGTATATATTATGCCATCATTACTTAGATTAGAACGCCAACAAAACGATTTCTTAAAATCCATAATTCGAATTCCTTTCCGCTCAGAATTAAAACAACAAATACATTCATAAACTCTCCTAGTTCCCCCAAAAACCATACCCGATTCAAGACCAAAATGGGCAAAGTCTATACCCGCTTTCAGACTGAAATGGCGCAAAAACCTTACCCTTTGGGGCGGCTTATATAAGGGAGTACCGTCATCCCCCCTCCCCTACCCTGGACTGTTTTCGTGTACAAAAAAAAATAGCTCGAGGGAATAAGATAAGCTGTCAAAACATTAAAAGTTCACTATGAATCAGCAAATCTCTTTTCTTTTTAGCCACTTCGCCGGCTAAACCGTCGCTCCTATCTGTACCTCAGAGAAGAATGAAAATTATTTACTTTTCTCTCCCACTATTTTTCCAGAAAACTCATGTTACTTTCGAATTCCCGTACATAACAAACTCACAGACATTAGAGTCAATTTGATATTTTTGGATGAAAAGCTTTGTAATGAAGTTTGTTTGACGGCTTTTGAGGTCAAGACACTTGAGAAGTTGAACAGCCGTTGAAGACGCAAACCGTCTCCGTCTGTGACGAAGGCTATTAAGCTTTTCAACGAATCCATCACCCTTGATTTCATTTCATTAATAATGTTGAAAGGTAGATTTGCTCCGTGAAGGGTATTTAGGACAGAAGAGTAGCAGACGCTTTTTTCGGCTCTTGTTTCTTACGCTATTTTCGCGGCAGGTGAAACAAGAACCAAAAAAAAGCGTTTGCTCCCCGAGGACTAAGTAAGTCAAGGGTGACAATTACATCGCGTCAAAATGAAAAACAGATGGAATACACGCAACTTCTGGTACTGCCTTCCATCAGTCGTAGCCTTAGTGGCAGATATCGAAAGGGTTCGAGGATAAGGAGGGAGATTGTAGCCTGTTCCAGATACTGCAGAGTAGCGCGGTGTAAAGAGCGAAGGAAACAAGGCCAAACAATCCCCAGGAACTGCTAACGTCTCTTTTTTCATGGCTTAAAACAAAATACAGGGATGCCAAATATGTCAAAATCATTTTATTAGTATTCTACAAACGTTATTTTGATAATATTAAAACTTCATTTACTCTAACCTATTTTACCCCTCAATGGACCCACTAAAAAATAATGTACATTATCATTAGTTACCAATACTTCATGTATCTCAACTCGTGAAAAACGTTTTCTCCTAATTTTCAATGCCTGGATCCTACAAATTTTAACTCTGAAAAACTACAAGGAACATGTCGATTACAACCGTTCCCGAGTTTAACTCGCAAGAAGAACGAAACATAACTACTAACATTTCATGTGTTGGGTGCGTGGTGCATGGGGACACAGATCACACTGACTGGTACACTGCACATAAAACGTCTCTGCACAATCCCCATACACCACGTAAAAACCTGTCGCTTCTCTTTACCACTGACTGGTCGGCGCAAAAGTGAGAGCACTCGCTTCCAACCAGTGTAGCCTGGGTTCGAATCCCGGAGGCGGTGCCATGTGATTTGAGTTTCTTGTTGGTTTTCGCGCTTCCTTCGAGAGGATTTCTCTTGGTGATTCGTTACGTCTCAACATTTCCACATTCCAGTTCCGTCCGAAATGATAAGTCGAAAACAATGCTGCTGATGTCCTACCAAACCACTGAATCAATAGGGCCATTTATACGAAGAAAAATAAGACGCGTCCAAAATAAGACGCAAACTATCCAGTATAAACGGCACATTTTCTCTGAAATTTAGCTTAGACGCGTCTTATCTAAGAACAGCCCTTAACACCTGTTCTTCGATAAAACGCGTCTTGCCCAAGTCGCGTCTTAATGTGCCGTTTATACGGGATAGTTTGCGTCTTATTTAGGACGCGTCTTATTTTTCCTCGTATAAATGGCCTTAATATTTACTTTCATTATCTACTGACAGGTAGACATGGTGACAGCCAGGAACGAGAGAGCAGGAGATGACAATAAAAAAAAAAACTTAGTTCTTAATACCCGTGACCAACCGAAACATTTGAGTTTTACAAAAGAAAATGTATAAAGATTGAATACTTGTCGGGTCCGAAGTTAACATTAAATTTCCTGTTTCTCCGGGACTGATATACTTATTAATTTCAATTTACAATACTTAAAATATTAATTCGACTCAGTGCGATTTTCCAATTTGTCTGGTCAGGTTTGCTGGAACGGGGCGTAATCGGGCGAGTTATGTCATCATTCTGGAACAGTACCAAGATGACGTGACGTTCCAGCGCGGGAAAGCCTTAGCTTGTAACGCAGCTGATCGCCTTTCGCGCACAGAGCTGTAACCAGTAGCCTAACCTTCCAGATGGTCAGCGTCCCATTGCTGTGCCTATAAAAATTTTAACGTTACTTTCGATATTGCACAAGTTCTATTTACACTCGCGATCTTGTAATCAATGCACAGTCATCCTGTACATGAGTATGGGGTCTTGGTGTAATTTATAATTGATTTTCTCGAACGATTCGCCTCGAGACTTCCAAAGAATTTCATCAATGTATACCAAAGCCTCGCATAAGCATCCATTCACAGTTTCGCAGCGGACAAAAGTTCCTCACAGATCTTTTTATAGGCCCATGTATCTCCCTTCATGCGCTTCCGGCGAATACCTGACAAGAGAGCAAACAATGGTTAGTTGATTAATTAAACAATTTTGCTGGGCAAGCAGAAAGAAAATGAGAAGTATTCTCCTGCAAAGGGAGAAAAGAATAGCATCAACGCACAGCTTACCTAAAAAGCTTTATCCCCTTGCTTTTACAGACAGCGAGAAGCGACAAAAGATTGAGCCGTCGTTAAAACCCGGCTGCATTCTGTTGCTAAAAACAACTGACAAACGTCAAAGCCTCTGACAGCCTGCACGGGTGCTGCCTCTTTAAGTTAAGCGATAGCGAAGCTTTGATGTACAAGCACAAAAACCTGTTATTCGTTTCGTTTTTTTTTCTTCGTCTCTTCAATTACAGCGAGGCACTCACGTTTTTGTCGTTCGAATTTGAGTTTGCCATTTAATTTATCAGACAATACTAAGCATACCTATCATCTCCATCTTCGGAATCAGACAGACCTCCATTTCGAATTCAAGGATGACTTTGCCTCTCTCGTCTATAGATTTACAGCGCAGTGCATACCTGCAAGTTAACCAAACACTTGAGAGAGCCGCCATAATGTACACGTACTGGTATTAAGAACATAATTATAAAAAATTATTGGATGAGGTTTTTGTGATATCCGGAATAATCAAGGTCGAGGTAAGTGTTATCTGCCGAAGCCGAAGGCTGAGGCTGATAACACTAACCGAGACCTTGATTATTCCGGATATCACAAAAACCTCATCCAATAATTGTTTTCTTATACTTTATCTTCAAGTAATTTCTCAATTTCTTGCTACGTGGATGAAGCGAATCGAGAAGCCATTCTTACCTCGCTGTCCGCGAACTTGACATTGCTCTTGGATATCATGCATTGCGCGCGCAACCTACAGATTATTCACTAATCTGTAGGTACAGATTAGTGAATAATCTCTAGGTTGCGCTGTTTCCCAGAATTAACTGTAGGCTTTTAGCCGATGAGAAGACAGATGGTGACTACAATGTATAATAATAGAAGGTATCTAACGAAATCAAGAAACCGGTTAAATAATCACAGCACCACTCTACCCAAGAGAGCGCGTTTTAAAGCGCAAATTTGATCGGATGCTGGTTGATATAAACTTATCAGTTGGGTACATCAATAACTAAATAAAGAAATACATAAAAAAGGACCGTAAATCCGCTATTAAGCCCCCAGTCCGCCCTTAATATTCTTCAATACTAAATGATAGTCGAGATTATGGATTGATCCGGTATAGTTTATTCACGAGTTGGAAGTTTGAATTTGTTTTTTATCTTTTTTAGTCTTTTGCATGACCTCTAGCTTCTTCTCCTTGAGCTTTTCCACTTTGCAATCAAGTTCTTTATCCATGGAGAACCGATTTCTATACGTTAAAAAATAGACCCTTCGCTCACCCTGGAGCCCCACTTGCTAGCACTAGAGGGCGTATTCAGAGACCCAAACCGCTTTCTACCGATCGTAAAAGGAGACTTAAATGGGGTCTTTTCCACTCTGCATTCAAGTTCTTTATCCATGGAGAACCGATACCATCCATCATCTTCGCTAAAATAAATAAGTCCCGCCTCTCAAACAAATACCTACCCTTTTTGTTTGTACATGATGTCCGCCAGTTCCAAAACACGTTTGAGCTCGTCAAGAACTTCATCGGAGCTTCTTGTCGAAGTCGAAGACACGTTGTAGAGGGCCTACAAGTCAAGAAACAACGAAATTTTTTCTGTCATCGGAAAAAAAAGAACTCATTTATGTTTCTGAGCCGGTCCGAAATGATGGCGGAGGCTTGACTTCATCTCTTTAAAAATTACTTAAAGTATTGTGTCAACATACAGGATTTCATGAAAGTGGGAGGACCATCTTCATCCGCAGTTCAAAATATGAGTCATTTCATATATTTCCATTCATATAGGATTTCGACATCAAATACCAACTTTCAACTACCAAAGATTAACTATTATTGTTACTATTAATAATAATAATAATAATAATAATAATAACAAAAACAACAACAACAACATTACTTACCTTGACTTTTCTCGGCCCATGCCCTCCCAGTCCTCTTGGTGTAATCGCCTCCACAATTCTGTTTAGACCTTCTTCGATGCTACCCATAAATCCCTGCAAAACAAACGATGACCAGTGCTCCAACAGACACATCGACTCTGTTAAACGCTAACAAGCGAAAAATCCCTTAAAAACGTCAAAATCCTAAATAATGCTTTTATTAAGAAACATTTTCGACATCCTTTTTCGGTAAAATAGGAAGTCAGGGTCAATATCGGCGAGTTTAATTTTATCAGTCTTTTAGTAAAGATAGATTAAAGACCGTTATATTCGTATACAGACATCTGCGGACAAAGTCCCTCCGTGTTCGGAAAAAGGATTAAAGTCGAACCCTGCAGATACTTGAGAGCTTTAGGACAAGAACAAGTACGAGATTTAACTTACAGTTTTTGTGCGTTTTTTAAAACAAGACACCCCGGAAAAGTTCATTTTACTTTTTTTCACCAAAAAAGTTAGTTCAGTTATTTATAGTGAAGGAGGTTAAGCCCTCTCTCGAAAGCAAAATGATAAAACTTCTTACATTTGATAACTTGTTCCCGACACTACGACATTCTCGGTAAAACCCGCTGTAGAATGATGACGGCTATCACGTTTTCCTGCCAAAATGACGCTGGCTCACGCTCGCTCACTACTAAGTATTGAGAAAATCTCGTGCTCGTAGTCGCCCTCTCTAATAAGGAAACTGAGGTCAAAACTCAAGGTTTCTGTACGTCATAAAACAGACCCTTCACTCACCCTGGAGCCCCACTTGCTAGAGCTAGAGGGCGTATCCAGAGATCCAAACCGCTTCCTTCCGATCGTAAAAGGAGACCTAAATGGGGTCTTCCTGCTTTGCGTGGCTTTGTCCAGATTTGTGTCAAGAGATTGGGACCAACTGCCAAAACAACAGAAAAAAAGGTGAGAGTTCGAGTCTTAATGCGATATAGGACTGAGATGGCTTGATGATATATCAGTCTCAAACAATGCAAATAGTTTGAATTCAGCCTTCACTTATTTCAAAGCTACCCTGCTTTGAGCGACTAGGAGTATGTCTATTTATCAATGCATATGGGATGGTAGTCCTACACGTGAGGAGCCCTTATTATATTTCAAGAGGGACACAACCTAGCGGCAAATTGCGTGACAGCACACCATCGTCATTTGTCTAGATAAAAGTTTTATTTTTACGTCTCCATCCTCTGAGAGAAGTTTGACAAAACTAAACATGCTAAAGTAGGTGTACTTACAGTTTTGCTTGAGACATTGGTGTAAGATCGTTGTTACCAAAGTCATAATCGGAGTGTGACATAGGCATTTCGGCCGCTGCTCCTAAATAAAACAAAATGATCCCTTTGTGATAAAATCGTTACAAGACTGCTACAAACGTGAACAAGAGAAAGTGCTATGTAATGAATAGGACAGATTATCTTGTTTCTTTATCGCATGCCTGAGGCGTAATGAACATTTAACCAACGCCACATCAAAGGCAAGGAGGGAGTGCAACAGTGCAAGGAGGGAGAAGAAGGGGCCGACAAAAGAAACGTTGGGAGAATAATATCTCTGAATGGACAGGGTTGAAGTTTTGCAACGCCCTAAGAGAAGGTGAAAACAAAATCAAATGGAGGGAGAGGGTTGCTAGGTCCGTGGCGCTCAAACGGTCACCATGACTACGGGATAGGTGTAAGGTGCAAGATTAAAGGCAAAGACTTTAAAATTAAGGTACCGTACATCCTCTATTAAGCCCCCCTTCCCTCCCCTAATTATTCTTCACTAATAAATGATAGACTGTAGTAATCAATCACGACTGTAAAACTTCGTGAGGACTGATCCGAGAAGGTTTATTTACCAAGTGGAAGTTCGAATTTGATTCTGATCTTCGGCTGCTTGACATCCAACATTCTTGTACTTGAGCTTTTCCACCTTTTATTCTAGTTGTATAGGGAGAACTGATACCATTGTCTTTTCTAAATTAAATAGGGTCCCCCCCTTAAATGTGCTTGAAATAAATAAGCCCCCGCGGGGGGGTTTAATAGAGGATTTGCGGTACTTAGGCCCCGTTTATAGGGAGAAAACCTGTCCCGGGTTGAAGGGTCACTCGCCAACCCGAGCCAACTTTTCCTACATTTCCTTTAAAAAACTTGGTGAACTGATTACATGAGAAACAAAAGAGTTGACTAGGCTAGAAGTTTTTCCATGGTAGGGTCACCCTCCAGGTCCGGCCGACTTTTGTCCTACCCGGGTTAACTCGGTCAAGGCGACACAAGCAGAGCATGCGCGAGCGCTGTTGCTAGCTCTTGGCTCGGGCAAAAGGACCACCTTTTTTCTCATGTAAACGTTTACTAAAGTTGACTCGGCTGGGTCGACAGTATAGCCCTCTTTCGTTTCTCAATGTCAACGGGGCCTTAACCGTACCCAATTTTACCTTTAGCAGGGGTTTTCCTCGTCCGTGGTGTGATTGGTGCTAATGGGGGAGGCATCTCTGTTGGTCCTTTTTTGGTTGGTGTCGAGGGTACACTAGCCGGAAGGGTCCCAGCTCGGGCCTTCCTCGCCGGTGGTTCCATGCTCTCCTCTTGCTTATTGAACATGACCTTTCTTGATTGATGTTCACCGTAAGGAAGAGGTTTTGGCGGCCGGAGGATGTACTCTGCGTTTTCTGAGTTGGGAACATTAGGATGCTGGAAAGAACAGGGACATTAATTAGTTAGTAGTTTATCGTAAAAATCAACAAACAAACAAATATACATGCAACGCCTTGGGAATAGACCTATTCGACTAACTCAATGTCGTACCCAATTCAAACCCTTGGGAATAAAACGTTTTGTTTCAGGAATTTCCACATCACTTAAATGTGAATGCCACATTATAATGCAAATACAA